TTGTTTCTTTCATTAAAAAAAACAAAAAAAAACTCTATTTCTATTTACGCTTTTTGTTTATTTCGATTTTTCTGTTTAAAAAAACATAAAATAAAAAAAAGTTTTATTTATTTTCTAAATAATATTTGCTAAAAAAAAGAGTTTTGAGGACAAAACAATTTGAAGAGGGAGAGAATGATACAATATCAAAAACCAGTAAATCAAGGGTCTTCAATATGTTAATTATTATTAGAATCTGTTCTTCATGATTTATAAAGTCAAAGGATTCTCATTCAAGTCCAAAGCAAGATTGGTGGCAAGAAGACCATTATATGATTTAACTTATTTTTCTCCTTTTGTTTAAATGTAAATAATTTCATTTAAGTGTATTTATTTGTAAAGATCTTTTGTAAGAGCTATAAAAGCTCATTGTTCTCATTGTAAAAAGATATAGAAATTTTTGGAAATTAAAAGATTTTTTTCTCTAAAGCTTTGGCTTTGTTTTTGTTTATCTAAGCAAGATGGAATTCTTCACTTAGTAAACATTTGAATCTATGTCTCTTGTGTGCGATGCCTTGAGACTAGGTTTGTGAACTCATCACAGGGCCTTCCACACCCTTGAGTGCCGTTCTTCGATCCACCCATCTATCCATCTTATCCACTGATCCAGCCTGAAAGAGACTTGAGTCCAGCAGGATTGATCCCGCAACCATCCACTTCGATCATCTCTTGAGCTAGTAGAAAGAGACTTCAGTCCAGCTGCTTGCTTCCATCCATTCACCCAACCATTTATAAGATCATCCCATTGATCTTATATCAGACCCCTAGAAGGGCATAGCTGTTTGGACTCTATATAAAGTCTCCTCACAGCCTTGTATTTTTCACACAATCAATAAAGATCAAGCCTTTTTCCAAGAGTTCTCTCTTCTTCAGTTTTTCTAGGCATTTGTGATTTCTGCCCAGTTTAACTTTGTCTTATCATTGCCTCCTTCCATCAGGCTTTGTGGCGACCATCGATCCACCTTTTACTCATCATCATCCGACCAGCCTTCTAGAGGAGTGACCTTAGTCCCTTGAACAGGCGCCATCTTTCCACTTCGTTCATCCTCCATCCGACCGGTTGAAAGAGAGTGACTTTAGTCCAGCTTTCAGCCTCCATCTTCTGCCAAAACGAGCCTTAACCTTTGAGGGTCGTATCAACAAACCTTTTCCTTTCGTGATCTTTCTGGCCGATGTCGGCTCTGGCATCGGCTGTACTTTTTCTTTTCCTGTTATTAATTCTTAGTTTTAGATTTATTAGGTAAATACACATGGATTGGCTTTTACTTCGGTCACTTGATTCATCAAAGGAATGTTGTGAATGTGATATGCAGAATTTGTTGACATGGGGAAGTGCGATGTGGCCCAGAATGGGTATCATCATCGAGTCTGGAATTTTCGTTCTCTCCAGATTTGAAGAACAGACCCATGTTGGTCCAACCGATATGTTGGTATATGTCGTTTCCAATGTTACTACCATACCCTTCGTCTTTTATCACACTGACGTGGCCGTCAATGTTGCCAACGTTGTAAAAGTGGTAACACTAGAACGAAAAACACAACATATACAAATGGTTCTCGTCACTAATTTTCTTGTTTGTGCCATTATGTTGGTTCACGGTAACAATCTTTCTTCTTCTCTCCTGGGAGTGTCTTTCTGATATCCATCATGGTGGTGCTATCGATGTTGTGTTTATGAGAATGTTTGGATTTATTCTTTAAACCAAATTACCCAATTTGGTCTGATATTAAACCAACATTCTCACCGAATTTTATTACCAACCATTTTATGGTTTGGGTTTGTAATTTGGATTTTCAATCTAGGAATTGGCAAGTGTAAGGAGGTATGCAATTATGAAATATATATATATGTATCCTCTTGATGTTATTGGGTTCTTTTTGCCTATAAAATAGGTGCTTTCTCAAACCAGAAGAAAATCATTTTTATGGTAATAATAGGAAAGAAGACTATGGAGACTTTCAAAGAAACATGGAGAATTTCTATCAAATATCAATTATTTTGGTTTTAAGGAAGCTAACAAGATTCAGAATCATCTTCAACAACATTAAATTTATATTTACTAACTAAAGTAATACCATGGTGAACACCCTTCATCGGCTTCTCATCTTCAACAACATTAAAGTAATACCAGATTTGGCGAGAGGGAAACAACAGACATCACAGAGAACATCCTTAATCGGCTTCTCAACTAATCAAGCTCATCGACAAAAATGTCCAGAATCGAATCAGCACAATTCGCTGAACAGGTGATCAAACTTATGTCGATGGACTCATTAAGTGGTTTGCTACACGATAGAAAAGCTGCAGCTCTTTTTTTTTTCTTCAAAACTAATCTTCTCTAAGTTCAAAATTCAGTTAGTAAATTTCAAAAAAACAGATGCAATCTTTATAAACAAGGTTTTTTGGTTTGAATAAATTTAATATTTATTCAACAAAAAATTTCATAGGCATTTGGAGTTTTGGCAGCAAATCAATAGCCAATCAAAAGTTGTAAAATGGGAATATAACAGAAATTTTCTGTTAACCTGTAAATTTTTTGTAATGATAGCTAGGTTATATTTAACTTCTTTATCGAAATTGTTTCAGTTTCTTATATTTACATATATTAGTTGTATGTATTAATTATGTTTCTTTGTAAACTTTGATATTAATATAATTGATTTGCAGTAAAAAAAAATGTAAAAACTAAATAAATTCTTCAAATAATTATTTTTTAAAGATAAAAATCAAAAAACATACGGCGCAGCACACAGCGTGCAGACGAGCCTCGACCTCGGGCACATGGGAAAGGAGAGAGGCAACGCATAAAACTCACGCCGACGCCGAGTCAACACACGGGTCAAGTCGAGTCCCTCTCTCATATTATTAGTTAATTTCTATTTTGATTTAATTTTTTTAAACAGCTAATTTCTATATTATTCATCACACTCCTCCTTTATCGCTCCAAATCTTTCCGTCTCTTGGTTTTCCAATTTAAGTCCAAATAAAGAACCCAAAAAATTCGTAAAAACCAGAGAAAAATCCTTTTGTGTCGGTGGATTCTTTTCGCTCTCTCCAAGCATTTTCTCGAGATCCAGGTACGTTGTTTTCGATGTCTCTGTTTCACTGTAATCGTATTGTCTTAATTTCCGTTTCCTGGCTACTTCATTTGCATTTTTATGGTTTTGCTTCATCACGATTCTGTGAATTTTGAAGAATGCTTAGCGTAACTAGATAGATCCAACAACAAAATGACTATGAGCAGCGACGATGCTGTTTTCTTCCTCATTTTTCTAAAAATTCGATGTCGATGTCTTTGTTTTACTTCGATTTAATGGTTTGATGCTGCTTAACGATGCCTAATTACGTCAATTTCTGTTTTCTGGCTTACTAGATTTCACTTGATATGAATTTTGATAGTTTCGCTTTATCACGATTCTGGGAATTTCGAAAAATGCTTAGCATAATGAGATAGATCCAGGAAGAATATGACTAAGAACGGCGTCGCAGCTGTTTTCTTTCTCCCTTTCCTGGAAAATTAATCTCGATATCTTTGTTTTACTTCGATTCTATGGTTTCATGATGCTTGACGATTTCACTTTGTTTTGCTTTATCACGATTCTGTGAATTTTTTAAAACTGCTTAGTGTAAATGAGATCTCTACTTTGCAATGAAATTAAACGCAGATCTAAACAACAATGACGATGAGCAACGGAGATACCAAATCTGCAACCTGTAATGGCTCTTCGGAGAAGAAACCTTTCAAGATCTTTGTTGGTTACGACCCACGGGAGGATCTTGCATACCAAGTCTGTCGTCATTCAATCACCAAGAGATCATCAATCCCTGTAGAGATCACACCTATTGTTCAATCAGATCTCAGGAAGAAAGGTCTGTATTGGAGAGAAAGAGGACAGCTAGAGAGCACAGAGTTCTCGTTCTCTCGTTTCTTGACTCCACACTTGTCTAATTACCAAGGATGGGCCATGTTCGTCGACTGCGATTTCCTCTACCTCGCTGACATCAAGGAGCTCACTGACTTGATCGATGACAAATACGCAATCATGTGTGTTCAGCATGATTACACTCCCAAAGAGACTACTAAGATGGATGGTGCTGTTCAAACCGTGTACCCGAGGAAGAACTGGTCCTCTATGGTGCTTTACAACTGTGGACACCCCAAGAACAAGACTCTGAATCCGGAGACTGTTAACACTCAGACCGGTGCTTTCCTCCATAGGTTCCAGTGGCTGGAGGATGAAGACATTGGTTCTGTTCCTTTTGTGTGGAACTTCCTTGAAGGGCATAACAGGGTCGTTGAGAACGATCCGGCCACGCAGCCTAAGGCCGTGCATTATACTCGGGGAGGGCCTTGGTTTGATGCTTGGAAGAATTGCGAGTTTGCAGATCTTTGGCTCAATGAGATGGAAGAGTACAGCAAAGAGAACAAGAAAGATGGCGATGTCGCGAATTAGAAAGAAGGAAGAAGAAGAAGAAGAGGTACGTTACTTACGAACAGAGAGGTTTCGTTACGTGAGTTATATATAGTTTTTTTTGGCTTTGTAGAGCCAGGGATCATTAGTCTTGTGGAGGGCTTTGGATTTTCAGTTTATTCTTCACATTGATTTGGTTTAAATCATTCGCAGCAGTAATATACCAATATTGAGATCATATGGTATAAATAACCTATTCGTTTTTTTCTTTGTTGTTGTACCTTGATTGAATGATATTTTATTTGTAACTTATTTGATATTGTCACCTTAGTTCTCGGCTGAAGCAACTTATTTGATATGTGACCGGATGTAGCTGTTCTTTTAAATTGATTAATAATGATCATACGCTCGATATATAAAATATAGATTGATCAATAATGATCATTAGCTAGCAAGTAGAAACCTCTCGGATGATCCTATATCTCAGACTATATTGTTGTCCTTGGTATTCATATTGTGACTCGTTCACGTACCATTTAATATTGCAAATGAGTCCACTCATTTGGGTACGTTGTTCGTCGGTACGTGAACGAGTCACAATATGAACACCAAGGACAACAATATAGTCTGAGATATAGGATCATCCGAGAGGTTTCTCTGCTGTTCAGATCTTGAATGCCACCAACAATGCCTGCAAGTGTAATAACCCCAATATGATACAAATCTCTTGGTTATTTGTAAGTGTACTCGTGTTTCTGGATTATCTGCTTATGGAAGTTGGTGTTTAGGTATGCTTGATAACAATTGCATGATTCTTGTCAAGAAATTTATGTACAGAAAGCATGACTACTCAAGAAAATTATGTCGTGACATAGCCATATCATCAATGGTGAGTGGTCACAAGAATTTCATGATGGGATGTTGTCTAGAGAATAAAATTCCATTCATGGTGTATTATGGTGAGGAGAAACAATATTCTACTGTAGATCTTGAAACGGTAGTGTCGTGGAAAAGGAGAATGAAGATAGCAGAGGATATTGCAATTGCTTTAGCTTATCTTCACACTGCGTTCCCAAGGCCCTTCGTATATGCGAATATGAATCTTCGGAATATCTTGTTGGATGAAAATGGGGTCGCGAAGTTGAGTGATTTCGCTTATTGTGTTTCGATTCCGAAAGGAGAAACATTAATTTGTCAAGCTGCGTGATATGGCTCAGATTTTATCCAAATAAAACTACTGTAAGTGCACAGCAAAAGCAAGGGGTATCGAATCTCAAGAGAGTAATGCAAACTACACTATCGAATGTAGATTCGGATTATGCTAAGCAGGATATAATGTATGTAATGCGAATTAATAAATAAAAGTAAGCAAACGCTTTTGTAAGATGATCTAAGTTTCAGAAGACTAAAAACGCTAAGTCAGGACAGTTTGCAGGTTGAATCCAAGAATATAAAATGCAGGAAATCAGGAATGATTAAGAATCGTTTTAAACATGAATCACTGATATATAACTAATCAATTCTCATTGCAAAAGTTATCTATGCCTAAATCACAGAATTTCAAATCTCTTTGCAAACCCTAACAACCTGAGCATGCATGAATGATCAGACTCAATTGTTTACAAAACTCCTAAGCCAAATCTCTTTGCACTAAGTTGTTTTGCTCATCAAATACTAGTTCAGGTTATGAATAATGCTCTCACATATATTTAACAACCTATGATTTTCGGATTCCTAGATGATGTGTCTCAGAAATTCGATTTTAAAGCAAGCAGAGATGAAAAACCAAAAGATATTCCTAACAGGTAGCAATTCTACAAACTCTTCATCAACCCTTGAAAAAGCTCTAACTTAACTAACAAACTACTCAGACATGGTGATTTGAGAAAACATCATGAAGAGAATAGATTGCATAAAAGAAATAAGAAGTAAAGATGAAGGAGTTCGAAATCTGCTCTGAAGGAGTATGATTTGTCTCTCCAAAAGCTCTTCTACAAATCTCTCTCTCTCAAGCTCTCTAAAATAATAAGATGCCAGATATATGCCAAAAGAATGGCTGAAAAACCTAATATACAAGCTAAAACACGATATGGGCCTTTTTGCAAATACTAGAACTTCTGGGCTAAAACTGCAAATAATCCTCTATCTTTTAGAGAACAGCCACGACCCCTTCCTTTCTGGGTGACGAGCGTCACCCATATGCATACTTTTCTTCCCGAGTTGGATACTTCGTGGCTTCAACTTGCAATGCTCCAAAAAGCTCCAATATCTCCAGTTATGCTCCAGACATGCTATAACCTGCAAAGACTCTTCTAGGACTCTAAAAAGACCAAAAAGACTCAATAAAAAGGACTTATATCATGGTTAAAAACCATAAAAACCATGATATATCAACTCCCCCAGACTTAGCTTTTGTTTGCCCTCAAGCAAACATCAGACAAAGAATAAAGTCGAGGTTTGAAAACAAGAAACAGTTAGTCAGTCATCAGGAACACCACACTAGTTTGAACTTTCGAATCCACATACCACAGAGTCAACACAAGATCAAATTTCAGTCTAATCATCACAAGCTTAGCAAATCTCTCAAGTCCAGTTCAAATCCCTTCAAGAAATACGAAATTTCTATTGTCAACTCCTTATTTTTATCTAAGTGTGAAATCTCATCAAGGCTCTATCATCTCAATCATTTTACAGATTCTTTTCCCTTCCTAGCAACTGAACAATTCAGTCTCAACACAGCTCTCCTATTTTCTCTTCCCTTGATCTTTTCCTTTGAATATTTTCGATTTTTCACTTCTTTTTCTCAACTTTTACAGTCTTAGATATGCTGCTACTCAATACTTGTGTTCCTTGTGAGGAGACAGGTTCTTGAATGTGTTCACTACTATTGTTCCTTGTGAGGATACAGGTCATGAATGCACCATTCTTTGGACTTAAACTTTTAAAACTACATCAGGGAAGATCAAAGAGAGACTGTATCTTAACCTTATTGTCAGTGTTGAAAGAGAGAATCAAGATCAATAAGAATCAATCACCAAGATAAGAAGTTTAAAGTTCATTAAGGTGGAGCTAACAACAAATTTTTCAGATTCTCTAAGAACATAAACCTTCATTGCTAGACTGATCTACCTATGACTTTCAACTTAGTAAGACTTGTAATCAACTACTGTGGCAATGGTTCTTATAAGCAAAAACGTCCTATGGTTAGTTCCAAGAAAAACTGACAATTTCAAAATTTTGACTCTATAAAACAGGTTTTTGACTCAACTTTAAGATTCTATAAACATGACACAAAGCACACAACGTCAGTAACCACCTCCCCCAGACTTAATCAACACTGTCCCCAGTGTTATTAAGCCAAGAGTTGGTCAAAATGAAGCATGAAAACGTGTAGAACCGAGTTGGAAAAGTGGTACCTCGCGTGGATCGGGTGACGAGCGTCACCATCTCTGATACTCCAGAATCGACATGTTGGATGTTTAAATGTTATGCCATCATGTGTACTCCGAAGTCAAACTGTAAGAGCACTCAAAACACACATCAAAACATCTAAACAAAGCATAATCCATGGTCCAACAAGTTCACAAGACATCATCCAAGCAAACTGAACAAACTGACTTTTTTTTTTTTGTAGAAAACGAAAATAGACTAGAGTATGATAGCTAGATAACTTACCAGTGGGTTGCCTCCCACTAAGCGCTTGTTTAAAGTCATTAGCTCGACTTTGAATGCTGCTCAGACAGCTGGTGGAGCAAAATGTGGCAGTGAATGCCTTGGAGAAGAATGTCTCCTCATCCATGGTGGTTTTTAGGCAGTAGATGCATGAATTCTTCCAAGGAAGTGAGCAACATCAGCAGGGTGGGTCGTGACTGTGGGTGGGATACTTCGTTTTCCTACTGAATCATCAAAAGAAATGCCAAGCTTTCTACGAGAATCTCGTTGCTTGCGTAAGTGTAAAGCATCTTTTGCACCTTTTAAATTCTTATTGATGAGATTAGGAGGTTTAGATTTGGTTCCAGGAAGTGCATACCTTTGCCTAGTTGCAGGTTTCTGGGTTGTGGACTGTTGAATTTTCGGTTTGGCAACATTTGATGGACTTGTAGCTGTAAGTTCACGTCCCAGCTTTATCTCCAGGTTGGTGACGAGCGTCACCAGGTCAGTGACGCTCGTCACTGACTCTGCAGTTCGAGTTGCTGCAGTTTTCCTACAATTCAGCTCTGCAAGTCTTGCCTCCATCACAAACACGTCTTCCTCCAGCAACTTGGCATTCATTGGAACCTCTTTTTCAAGCCCAATCATGAAGATATGATCCTCACTGCAATCCTCAAACCCAACAGCTTCTGCAGAAGTTTCAGATATTGCCTCTTCAACAGCCATCTTGTTCACTTGCCTACTTGTATCAGATTCAGTGACATACCCAATAGTAGTGTCTTCTGAATGCTCCATGACATTCTCTTCATCTCTGGAAGTTCTTACAGAATAGGTCTGACCATCAATAGTAGAACTCCCTCTTAACTTATCCATGTCAAAGTTCATGACAACATCACCAAGATCAAGCTCTGTTCCCTTTTCTCACATTAATGATTGCGCCAGCAGTAGCCAAAAATGATCTTCCCAGAATAAGAGGATCTTTAGGTTCTTCAGCATATTCCAGAACCACAAAATCTGTAGGAATTATGCAGCCTTTAATGCTAACAGAAACATCCTCTAATATGCCTTCTGGGGTCTTTATGGATCGATCTGCTAGGATGAGAGAGATCCCAGCTGGCTTGAAATTAGTCATTCCAAGTCTAGCAGCAACAGAGAAAGGCATCAAGTTAATACTTGACCCTAGATTACATAGAGAGTGGGGAAAACGTCCTGCAGAGATTGAGCAATCAAGAACAAAGGTCCCTGGATCAGATAGCTTTTCTGGAATTCTGGTTTGAGTTATGGTATTGACTTGTTCAGAAACAATCACTTTCTTCTTCTTCTTTGGAGATGTGCCTAAAAGAATTGCATTGATGTCTCTGGTAAGCAATGCACCTTCCTCAGGGCTTACACCATTTACCACCATCCTCTTTACATATCTTCTTAGAGCTGGTGAAAGCTTGACTGCATCAACAAGAGGGATCTCAAGCATCAGTTTGTCCATCATATCTTTGCATCTGGCTTCTTCTATCTCTTGTTTAGACTTCCTGGGATGCTTGGGGAAAGGTGTTTTGGGTTTATAAGCTTGTTTCTTGCCATTATCTGCAGTTACAGGCGAAGCAGCTTCATTCTGGGGTGGGTGGGTGACGCTCATCACTCACCTGTGACAACCCTTGATTCTCTTGTATGTTGGTGACGAGCGTCACTCCTCCTTGGTGATGCTCGTCACTCACCTCTGAGACTGAAAATTTTTCATCTTCAGACTCCATGAGTTGCACGATCTGTTCTGCACTCAACCTCTTTTTCTGCACTGTTTTTAGCTCCTTTTCATTCATGACTGTGATGGCATTAACCTGATGCTTGGGATTGATGTCAGTCCTTCCAGGAAGGAATCCCTCTTGCCTTTGAACAGCTCCTGCAGTTTGAGAAACCTGCACATCAAGCTTCTTTATGTGAGAGTTCAGACTCTCAATTTTTTCATTCAGGTCTTGGTACAGCGAATGTAGTTTGCCATTGAAGTTCACTGTCATCTTCTGCTGTCCTTCAAGTATCTGCTCCAGCATAGCTTCCATCTTAGTGTCTTGTGGAGGTGCAGTTTGGTAGGAAGAAGAACCATAATTCCTGCTGTTTTGGTAAGGTTTTTCAACTTCAGTCTTCTGGAACTGTGGTATTGGAGTATAACCAGTTGCATTCCAGTTTCCTGGGAAGGTATTCTTCTGATTATTGCTGTTGTAGCCTCTGTTCCACTGCTGATTTCCAAACTTTTGGTTCTGAAAACCTCCATTGATGAAATTAATATCTTTCTGCTCAATGTATTCAGGATTTTCGAAACTCTCCACTTCTGCAGCGAATTGAACTGACTTCTTTCCCACCAGAAAGCTGTGCATACTGTCTAACTTAGCCTTAACCTCAGCTATTTGGTTTCCTTCATTCAAACCACCCTGTTTCATTCTCTGAAAATCTGCATTCTTGGTACTGTTGCTGCAGACCAAGTTCTCAATCAACCTGATTGCTTCTTCTGGTCTGTTGGTGTTGAAGTTTCCTGCACTTGCTGCATCCAGCGCCATCTGGTACTTCCAGTCAATGCCTCTGAAGAAGATCCCAAGTAATTGCACCTGACTGAAGCCATGATGAGGACAGTCCCTTTGATAAGACTTAAACCTGATCCAAGAAGCCTTAAAAGCTTCAGTAGGGCCTTGTGTAAAGGAAGTAATTTTCGTCTTCATGTCCTCTGATCTTGCATCATCATAGAAGTTATTCAGAAAGACATTCTTAGTGTCTTCCCAAGTGGTCAATGAAGCAGGTTCCAGTTGCATCAGCCAATATGCAGCTTCTCCTTCAAGAGAGTAAGGGAAAAGCTTGCAGAACAGAAAGTCATTGCTAACACCATTAGCTTTGACACTGGAAGCTAAGTCCTCAAACCTCTCAATGTGATCCATAGGATGCTCATGAGGTAAGCCATAGAATGGATGCTGGCCAACCAGCTGATAGTAGACAGGTTTAACCTCAAAATCGTTCCTCTGGAAGGCAGGAGGTCGGATTGCAGCTCTGTTGGCATAGAACTGATCAGGTCTGTTGTAGTCACCTAGAGTCCTCTGAACAAAACGCCCAACAGCATTATTTGCAGCAACAGGGACCCCAACGTTCTCATCTACTTGTTGAACATGCTGTTCAACAATGACATTCCCCTCTTGATCAATCCTCTGCCCCTTTTCGTTCCTCCTGTCAACCAAGTGACCTTCTGCATCTTCAACCAAGATAAATGGAGCGACCATTGTAGATTGCTTCTTAGCTTTCCTGTTAGTTCTCTCCAACCTAGCAAGCTCGTCGATGCTCAAAGTCACAAGCTTCTTCTTTTTGTTTCTTCTGGTTCTGCGATTAGGCATACACCTGAAACAGGAACAAAGAAAAGCAGCAGAAAGTCAGTAAACAAATTAAAACTTAGACAAAATCCTAATACTAAAAATCGATATGCAGCTATTACTCCCCGGAAACGGCGCCAAAAACTTGATAGGGCTCAGGTTTTACCCAAAGAAAACTACTGTAAGTGCACAGCAAAAACAGTTGTAGTACAAGGGGTATCGGTCCCAAGGGAGTAATGCAAACTACACTATGTAGATTCGGATTTTGCTAAGCAGGATATAATGTATGTAATGCGAATTAATAAATAAAAGTAAGCAAACGATTTTGTAAGATGATCTAAGTTTCAGAAGACTAAAAGCGCTAAGTCAAGATATTTCGCAGGTTGAATCCAAGAATGTAGAATGCAGGATATCAGGAATGATTAAGAATCGTTTTAAACATGAATCACTGATATATAACTAATCAATTCTCATTGCAAAAGTTATCTATGCCTAAATCACATAGTTTCAAATCTCTTTGCAAACTCTAACAACCTAAGCATGCATAAATGATCAGACTCAATTGTTTACAAAACTCCTAAGCCAAATCTCTTTGCACTAAGTTGTTTTGCTCATCAAATACTAGTTCAGGTTATGAATAATGCTCTCACATATATTTAACAACCTATGATTTTCGGATTCCTAGATGATGTGTCTCAGAAATTCGATTTTAAAGCAAGCAGAGATAAAAGGTTCCAAAATGGTTGCCTAAATTCATTGGTGAGGAGAGAATTGATGAGATTGTAGATCCAAAGATGTTAGAGAAAATGGGTGAGATTGAAGAAGAAGAACATTGCCAGATGAAAGCTTTCCTTGTTCTCTCAGAAAGATGCATGGGAGATAGAGGCGAAGTACCAAGAATGATGGAAGTGGCCAAAGAACTAAAGAGGTTTCTTAGAAATGCTTCTTCTTCCAATGAAACCTAAAGCGACTCTTCCAAGACATCTCTTCGTCTGTCCTTCCCCCAAATCAAACTTTGAACTCCCGAGGCATTGCTAACATGTATCACCCGCCAATTTTTGACTAAATGTTTCTATGGATTATCTTTAGTCACATTAAATCAAAAAATTTTGTGAAAATAAGGTAGATTGTATTAGAGTTTGAAGCTTGTATATGATTGATTCAGAGAATATAATTTTATTTAAGTGTAGAGCACAACTTGTTGGATGAAAAGTTGAGTTACAATGGTAAAGTTGAGTTAATTTCCGATTGGTGATATGCATTTTTACAGTTGATGTTATAATTCGATGTAAGTTGATGTAGTAAAATTATGAGGTAAAAACAATAAAAATATGTGGTAAGTGAGATATGATATTTGAGTAAACATATAGGTGATGTGATGAGATTAATTTCCTTAACACGGTCCCTTAAGATGGAAAGGTTCTAGCGACTCCAATTTTGGAGCATTGATCTTAGAAACAATAGAAGAAGCGGTTTGGTAAGACCATATAATGTTTTGAGTTGTGGCAGAGTTCGAAGCATGGACCACTGCATGTTGGCTGCGCTAGGGAAAGTGGTTTGGTGAAACCCGTGGAAGAATAGATTTCTCTTATTGTGGTGTTGTAGAATTTTTTGGTTCTCCTTCACAACTTTAAAATAGATATAAAACCATTTAAACTATAAATATGAAGATTTGATTTTTATTTAATTAATTACAGATATAGAATATTTTATGAGATACAAAAACTTATTCATTTTTTTATATCATTGAACATTTTCTAGTTATTGTTTTTCTAACTATATCAATAAACAATAATATAGAATTCTGTGAGAAATGTGATAGTAATTAAAAATAAAGTAGAAAATTGACAATTTTTAAATTTTTAGAAAAATAAAAACTAAATTATATTATACATTGCCATTAACTATAATATACTGTGTGCCGCCTGCCCGCCTGTGTAAAAAGATTTTATAAATATTTTAAATTTTAAAAATGAATATTATAACAAAATTTATGTTTGATTGATTATTTACGCAACAAAAATGTATTTTATAAAAAACACTTTATAAATTATTATTTATTATACTAATTATATTAGTTTTATCTAAAATTTCAAAATTAATATCATAAAATAAAACCAAAGAAGGTTTAATATATATATATATATATATATACCTATTTTCTGAAAAAAGAAAAAAAAACAATTATCTTTTACATCAATTTTTGTCTTTTATATAAGTTTATGTCAATTTATATCTGCAAATCACATTACATTCTCCACAACTTCTTTTGACTTAGATGCATATCACTTTTTCATTATAATTGTTTTTTGTCGGATTTTATCAAGTTGCAAATCTATGACCACCATATTTTTTTAGTGGATATTTTAATGATCACAAGTTCTTGACTGATTACATGTGCAATCATAATTAAACTAGGTAATAACCTGCATCTTGTGCGAGATAAAATAATAATTATTTATATAATATAGTATAATTTTAAAATAATATAACATAGTACAATTGATTTTATATAGGTTATTTATAATATTATGCTATAATATTGACAATATATATTTTGTTTATTTTATAAAATATAGGATAATTTAATTCTTATATAAATTAGTTTAAAAATTAAATATATATGCGCTATCCCGAATAGAAATACAAAGTTTCTGTATAAATTTTTTATAACCTAGATTAACGACATGATCTTACAATTCAAAAAACAAAATAGAGGGAGTACATTTTGATTAGATTATTAGCTATCTAATGCATTATGATAATAACAAGATCTTTTTACTACTCTCTCTGTTTTAAAATATAAGATTTTTTTAAAAAATTTGTTTTATTTTACAATATAGTTGTTTTTATTTTTTTATTCAATTTTTACTTTACTTTATTGAATACTGTATGACCGATTATATTTTTAAATTTTTTCATAATAAGTTGAATTATATTTAACTTATATACTAAATGATTTTTTAAAAAAATATTTTTTAATCTTTGTGCTTTGAGGCAAAACAATTTATATTTTGAAATAGAGAGAGCATTAAAATTGTAATAATAAAAATTGATTATAAGATTTTATAATCAATTTTCTTATGCAAATGTGATTGCATATTTAGATTAACCCACAAAGACTACAGTAATAAAATATTAACTTTTAAGATTTTTAAAATGATTTTAAATACTAAATAAATATAAGGATTATATAAAAATAGATTATATATTTTTATGTTTAATATTTTGTAATAAATTATCTAAAATTGTATATAAATGAGTCAAAATTTATGCACTCTTAACTTTTTGATCGAATAAAAATATTTTTAATATCAAACAATTTGATTAAATTATTATATAATATCCTTACAAAAATATTTTAATTTTTACCAAGTTATTTTATTTATATAAATTGAAAATTAATAATGTTTTACTTTTTAATAAAATGAAATATTTATAATATTATATTATTTTAACATATCTAGCTATTTTTTGTAGTTTGGCTTTTTATTAATAATTTATACTTATTATAAACTTTAAATATTTATATTATTTGGTTAATTTATATAGATCTAAAACCATATGAAACCAAAAATACTTATAATAATAATATTTATTAAACTAAGCTTTCTGTTTTTTTTTTTGTTTTTTTTATCATTTATGTCTTTTTATAATGATTTATGAATCATCTTTTAAGCTACACATTCTTATTCCAATTTTAGACTTTTAAAACTTACTTTTATTTATTAATCATTTGAGTAATTTATACTTGTTTTAAGAAATTCGAATTATAAAACAGAAATATATATATTGTTTACTATATAAATGACGTGATGGTTTATTTGTTTTACAAAAATAAAAAATAAAATATAGTAATTAACGAAATAATTAATATAATATATTTTTGGTAAGAAATAGAAAAAAAATATCTTGATGAATCATCATCAATATAATTGATAGAAACTAATATATAGCTAAATTAATATGAGTGGCATAATATGTAATTAATCTAGTAACATAATCCTATTTTTATAACTTTGCTGAAAATGATTCTGGTATTGACACATCAGCAAAATGGCACAATCGTAAATAACTTACAAAATTAAAGTTACTCTTTAAAAATGCTTCTCAAATAATAGATAGGAAATGTTATTTGTCATATCCATCAAACTCTTAGGGAGTGTATTGAAACTAAAATTTTAGAGAATTTGAAAAAAATTAAGTTTTAATAAAATTTTAAATGATATTATGTGGATTGGGAAAGTTGATATGATTTGATATTAAAATTATATGAAATCTCACCTAAAACAATGGGATCTGAGTTTCTATATTTTAAACAAAAAAACTCCACCAAATCATTTAAAAATACTTAATATTTTTTTCTAAATCCACTATTTAAAATATTTCCAATAGCAGTAGATTTGATTTAGTTTTTATAAATTGTTGATTGAATAACATGAATTTTTAAATGATTTTAGATAGTTTTACATAAATTTCATGTTCAATAACATCAATTTTGGTGAGACGTTTAGAAATTATTAATTCAATAACAGAAATTTTTTAAACAACCACCAAATCTTCAAAAATTCATAATCCAATACACCCCCACCCCCCTTAATCTTTTCTGATTTCATTATTATTAGGTTACCTAAACTCTACATCATCTGTGGAAGCCCCATTGGTCAAACGGTTTAATAAGGGTTTATTAATTCTTCTACACTAGGAGGGCTGGGTTTCAAATCTTATAGAGCGCTATTTATTCTTAATTATGCAGATTAATGAAGAATGATGCAAACTAATGGAGGCAAGCTTACAAGAGATCTTCCGCATGGTACAAGTAGAATCGTCAAACGTAGATCTTCATATGATGATGGTAAGCGTGGTGATGATACATGTAGAGCCGTTAGTCGTGGATCTTCATAAGATGGTAGAACTGATCGTTGTAGAATCGTCGATGTAACAGTTCTCATAGTTTACAATAGATTAATAAATCAATGTTAAAAAAAGACTCTACATCATCAATATATAATCAATAATCTCAGTTATTTTTGATAAATTAACATTTTTGCGCACAGATACATCAGAAGATATTTTAAATTTATTAAAAAATTATCTAATATTTTACATTTTAGAATTAATAAATTTAATATTAGATTTAAATTTTTATTAATTATTTTGTACTATATAAACATATATTAGCTTATAAATTATTGAGTGTTCAGTTATTATATATAATAATTTTCTTCAAAATTTATTCAAGGATAAATTTAAAATGAATTTTTCTTTCATTTATTTTAGTCGTCTCCTTGTTATGTTTTCTGTTGTTCTTCTCCCACTTCTTTATCTTTTAATATTTATTTCTTATTCTTCTTCTTTACTTCATAATTATCTTTAACTTCTTTATCTTCTTTTTTTCGTCATATTTTTTCAGTTTTTGGTCTTTTATTTTTTTTATTCTTCATCATCTACATCTTCTTTATCTTCTTTAACTCTTTAATCTTAAGTTTTTCTTTGTTTCGTCTTTGTGTTTGTCTTCTTCTTTTTCTTATCCTTCTTCCATAATTTTTCAGCCTTTTTGTTTTTTTGACTTCTTCCTTTTCAAATTGTTCATCTTCTTTCAAAAAAATTTCTTTTCTTTCATTCGTTCTTTTTATTATTATTTTTTGTCACTTTTTTTTTCTCTAGCTTCTTATCCATTCGGAGGTTTTAAGCAATATCATTTTGTTTGCTTTCTTATTTTTAAATTGTCAAGCAAATATTTACAGTAGATAATTATTTTTTTATTTTTTTTATCTAAAAACACGTTAAACATATTAAAAGATAATATTTTTTTTTTAAACATCTCTTTCCCTTCTATTTAAACACCTCCTCCCTTCTCTTTGTAATAACATACGAAAGTAACATAAGTTCAGAAAAAAGAAAGATTTAAAGTTCTTATGTTCATCTTTTTTTTCTCTCTCTCTGAATTTCGTATATCATAAAC